TCAAATACCAGTGATATCAGGAATACAAAAGTAGATTGGATAAAGAAGGCCCGAAAAGAAGAGAAGTAGTAAAAGTTGGCTCAGATTGAATAATAAGATGCAGAATATTTCAACTTCAGTTTGCTGTTTAAATCCAACACAGGTTGGTAATCTGTAAAACTCATTACCATATAAAAGCTGTTCAGTAGCTTGTGTGAAAGTTGGTGGGCTCAGTACAGTCTTAAGCAAACAGGGGGTCTTTTTGCATCATTAAGCTGCATGACAGACTCAGCAGAGGTCAAAGGTGAACATCCTTATTCCTAGAAGCAGTTCCTTCTGCTCAGGCATACTGGTGCACCAATGCAAAGGGTATTTTCTCTCCTACTACCATGCTATAAAGTTGTCCCACAGACAGAAGATGACTTTGGTTTACAATATCTCAAGACTGAGATCTTTTATTGCATTCATTATTTTTTTTTAAAGGAAGGCAGTTTGGGTGGAGTGAGAGGTGGGGGGGAAGAGGGGGAGAAACTGAAGATACCCCATCCTTACATATGGACTAAAAAAGTGGAACACTAATTTTTTTTTAGTATGGAGGTATTTTTAAGGGAAAATGCTAACAAGTATTTCACACAAAAATGTATAACGGTAGTGTTTAGAGTTTATATTTAAAATTATAAAAGCTCAGAGAAAAATTCTACAGAATGGCCTGAACGTATTTAATCATCATCACCACTGCTTCAGCAGTCTATAAAGCAGAACCACAGGCTCTAAAAAACATTGAGATGTATTAATATACTGCTGAATTGTTTGCTGAGTATATGGCAAAATTTCAGTATAGCGCCAAGGAAGCAAAAATAATATATTCAAATGCGTCTATCAGTTTCTCTCTGAACACTGGAACAAACAGATATGGCATTAATACTTCCTTAAAAGGCACAATATATTGCTTCAAAAGTGATCCACATGAAGTTAGTTATAATATGATATGCCATATCTGAATCTGTACAGATGGGTGGTCTTAGGCTCTGTCCCTGTGAACACCTACACACATGCTTAATTATAAGTCATGAGTAGGTTCCATGGATTTCAATACTTCTACTTATGTTTGTAATATTAAATACAGGCTTAAGAGTTTGCAAAATCAGTGCCAAAATGCTGAAAATGAAGGAATAATAAGAGATAATTCATAAGTGTTGATGTAAGATCCTTTGTTTTAGAACAGAAGTTATTGTACATAGAAAATTTTATCTCGTTTTGTTACATTAGCAAATTAAAAACAAAGTACTGTACTAGCTAAGTACAGTTTTTACTGGTAGCACATGGGTAGTCTCAATCTGTGAAGATGGTGTTTAGTGTTAAATTTAAATTAAACGTTTTTAAAACTCCAAAGAGTTTTTCTTGCTACACAAATCTTGCTAGTTAATTTTTCTTGCTAAAACAAGAAAAAAAAAAGTGACAAAAAGGTAGAGACTTATGTAGGCCCCCTCCATCCCACACAGGCTCAAGTCATACCCCTTTCTACTCCCCAACCCTGTGGGGCCAGGTTGGACTCAGTCTGCTTTCTGCCCCTTTTGTGCAGCTGGATAGGGCCTGCCACACCTACCTTGGGTGCTGGATCAGGATCACCAGCTGGATCCACCCACAGATGGACCAGGCACTGTCCATCCAGCCTGCCAGGCAAACTGGTTAAGCACCACTGTTGTAACAAATTCCAAACTCATATTAAAATTTGGCCAAAATATAAAATTTCCCTGTAGTTTCTATTAGATCCCATTTTTATTTCCTCTATTTTTTATCCAATGTCATCCTAGAAATTAGAGAAGGGAATAAGACCCTACTGTTCATCTATTTTATCCCTATGATTAGTGCAGACTAAACATTTGTGTACATTATTAAACTCCCAGATAGTCAGAGCACATTTTAGCAGTGTATGAAATTATCCCTATGTGATAGCAATTTTAGCTCTGTAGTCCTAATTAAAAAATAATTATTTATTACTACTGCTTGCACAAAAGAATACCTTGAGTAGTTGGCACAATACAACAAATTTCTATTACCCGTACAAAAACAAATCTTAAGGGAATCTCTGCCTAAACCTGCAATAAACTTAAGGCTCAGTGGCCCAAAATCTCAAGTGGTTGCTGTAGAAACAGCATTGACAATATATATATAAAAAAAAGATGTTAACAATTGGCTGTAGCAATCAATGTTTGAAGTAGGGAGATGCTATATTCATGGTCCTGGGTATGAGCACAAATTGCATATGACTGGAGGGTCTGGTGACAATGTGGTAGAGCTACTCATGGTGAGGTAGCTCCTATAAAATAACACAACGTTGCAACCTCCAGAGTAAGGGGAGTATAGGGCTCCTCAAAACTCTAGCCCCCACTGCCTTGTGGGTATACTCCTTGGCTGGAGAAAAGTTATGGGACACTCTGAGAGAAACATGCCTTGGCTGAGGTGTTAGGCAGTCAGCAGCAGTTCTTATCAGTTGCTCTCTGGCAAAAGTTACAGCCATCAAGGCACTGAACATTTGAACTTGGTCTGGTCTTTTGATTTTATCTCAATGGTCTAAAGGGAGAATGGTAGATCTTGGGCAGCCTCCACTCCTCCATACTCTTACCTAGGTGTACATATCAAAGTTTCAGGGTTTATCTTGTGAATCATGTTTACACATGCAACAGTGCTGACACTGGGTGGCAACCCAGAGCACCCTTGAGAGGATCTCAAGGCACCCCAGGGTCCCTTTATTGATAGTAAAATAAAAGTCAGTTTGTACTTGTGAACATATTTTCAATATTTTCCATTAAGTATGAAGACAGATATTTGATAGCTTATGTGAAATAGGAACTGTACTGAGATCACCAGACTAGGTCATCAGGTATTACAATACCACCCTAATACTCTTACTGACAATCTCAGTGGAGACAGTTACACATGCTGACTATCCTTCCCACTCTTATCAATGATCTCCCCAGCTAAGCATGCTTGTGGGCTGTGTGTAGAAGTCTGCTTTATCTAACACACCTGTGGTATATTTTCACTGAATAAAATATACTTATTTTTCCAGGCTCTCTCTGATGCAAGTAGAAAGGCCCTTGTGTTTATTAAAATCATACTTCAAGGATGAGCTACAGGATGAAGACTTTAATCACTTCTCTTCTAACTTGTCCCACAAAATTTATCTGTACAGGCAACCCCCACTTAATGCTGTTTCGCTTGGTGCTATTTCGCCATAGCGCTCATTTTAAACTGATACCAATTCCACTTAACGCTCAGCAAGTTTTGCTACGACGCTCACGGGCATTGTACAGCTGGCACTGAAACTGACGCTGATCCTGGCAGCCCTGATTCTGGTGACTTTACAGTGATTTTGGTGGCTTTAGAAAGTGAAAAGTGAAAGTGAAAATGAAAGTTGGTGTCACTTAATGCTCAGTTTTTCAGGAACGAATTAAGAGTGCTAAGCAGGGGTTGCCTGTATGGCATTTTCAAAAGGTTCTGAAATGCATTTATCAAAACATCTAAGAAAACTTAGCTGGCAGAATATCTACCTCTCTAGTACAAAACAAGAGCTTTACGGGTACATTTTTTAAAAGCCTAAGTTCCATAACCAGAGGAACTGCAAGGAAAAAACCTACGTCTGACAGACTTTCAATGAGACTTGGGCTTCTAAGCACAGACAGGTAGATCTACAGAACGCAAGAAGGGCCATACGGAGACACTTCACACCCACATACAAGTTCCTGAACCATTCCCCACATACAAGTTCCTGAACCAGAAGCAGTGTAGCTGAAATGCTAACCTCATTGGTATACAGCTACACTGCTTCCATTTCAAGAGCACACATGCACTGACCTGATGAGGCTTGGCTCAGTATGGTGGTTCAATGCTTTGGCACATCACTGACTTGTTTCATAAAGTCGTGCCCTTACTAATTTGTTCTTTATTGAGAACAGCAGAGAATTACATTAAGTCTGATGCTTAATAACTAGTTAAGAAACGAGAGTGTTTGTTGTGGCTCCATCATTAACTCAAGGACAGCTAAAAGGAGAAAAGGGTAGTGACCACTTGCATGCAGTACTTCTGGAATGATTGATGGACCTGAACATACATATCAGCGGTTACAAAGCCATCTGTTGGCCAACTCATTACAATATCTAATCACTTACAGAGAAATGTCTTGCATCCATAGCTGAAGTTATCACTTAAAAAAAAAAAAAAATTATCTTCACTCTTGAATTGAAGCAAGGCAATCTAGCAAATACTTTTGGAAGTATATGGACAGACAATTGTCACTAAAGTCAAAGAAAAGAAGGACTTGTATTTGATTTTCCTCCCAACTATATTGAAAACTTCACAGAACACACTTTTAAACAACTATTTCAATATTTAACTGTGATCTTAATATGTAAACAGAACCAAGCTAAGCTTATATAGGACTCCATTACATACTTCAGCCACAAAGTATATGCTCATGAACATTTAAAAGACAATAGCATAGATTTACCATTTTTCTGGGGGCGGGAGGCAGGTTGGGGGTAGAAGAGGGGGTATTACAAAGGGAAATATTTATAAATGAACAAATACACTTTGATCTAGTAATGTCAGAGTTATTTGTGATAAAACTGTTGTGGTTTTTTTTTTTTTTTTTTTTTTTTTTTTTTTAAACAAGAGACTTTTTGAAAGCATCTTGTCCTAATTTTATCTCATTTTTATGGATTATTTGACAGTGTTCACACTCTCTCTCTCTCTCTCTCTCCCCCCCCCCCACACACACACACACAATTTAACTGAGAAACAGTTGTATAACAAAATCTGTGAGTGAGAAGGTGGCCAGTCATGAAAACAACATGTTAGGTTGACTTATTCAGAGTGTTAACATCCTGAATTCTGGGGTTTCGTTAAACAAATAAAACAACGTTCTGCTTTGTGCCAGTATTTGTAATCATTGTTTATGTATAATATCTTATTCATATCTTTTAACCAAATTAGTTTCAAATTAAATGTTGGGTACTTACGGGATAACACACTGTCAATATATTGTGGCAAATATGGAGCCCATGCATCAATTGTTTCTTTCCGTCCTGCCTGTTCAATTCTTCTCAGTTCTGCTAACAATAAGGCCTGGGCAGCTTCTCTTACCTATAAATAGGCAACCAGAATATTGTGCAAGCTCAAATCTCAAATAATATGTACTAATATTTTTAGAACGTAACCACAAAGTCGTTATTTAAAATAAACTTACAACAGAAATGACCTAAGCTAAAAACAAAATTAAGCTATGCCATTTTCCCAAAGAACATTAAAATGGGGGAGAGGAGGAATCAAGGCCTCAACCATTTTTTTTTGCAATGGGCCCTTAAATAAGGGGGAATGCAAGGATGTGCGGCCCCAGGAGTAAGCGAAGGTCCGAGAAGAGATTCCATGTCACAACTCAATCCCTGCTTCCCTTTGCTGAAGAATGCTGCATATATCATAACTGCTCCACTCACTCCTCACCTTTGCTCACTTGGCTTCCTGAGAGAAGAATTATTAAGCCCCACAGCAGCTGCTTTTCCTGCCATGAAGAGATCAGTACTACAGGTATGTCAAGCTAGGAAGTAAAGGGGAATGTAAAGGAGCTCAGAAGTCAGCTACAAACTGACACACTGATATTTATTAACAGATATAAGACTATTAAAATTTATCAGAAAAGAGGGCCTTCAATTCCTTTGGAGAAAGTTTCAGACTTTCTATACTCTTCCACACTTTCCCAGAATTAAACATAAATGTATGTTTTTCCAATTGGTTTTCTAAAATTCAAGCCAGCATAACAATAAATATAAATAAAATTAAAATTAAATTAAAAAAACACTGTAAAAAGTCATTAAGATGTAGTATAGCTCTTGCCTATTTCTTGTACATCCCAGAAAACTAAACAGCAGCCGTAGAGGAAACCCTTGGGATATTTCATGTTATTGAGAAAAAAAAAAACCTATTGTAAAACCAACAAATACACAATATCATTTAAAAGTCTCTCTTTCTGTTGTAAAATACTTTGAAATCTTCCAAAGGCAAGCATAATTGCTAGAGAGAGAAGGTATTTGGAAGGCCAATGATTTTAAAAGTGACTTGCCTAAGATAACAAAGAAAAAGAAGAAAACCAGCAAAACAATACAAACCTGATCTTTTCACACTTAAACGAATCCAGATGTTCTAACTACCAAACTTTGAGAATCTAATTTGAAACTGATTAACTGAGTGCACTATCTAGGAACAGAATAGTGTTGTATAATATCTAGCAATAGAACAATGGTTCAAAAATAAAAAATTCTGACTGTTTTTGCACAAATCACATTTAATCAGTGACAAGATTACTATTAACTATATTATGAGACTGCTTAAATTCTACAACATATGCCCCACTTTTTCTTCTAAAGCTGCACAATCATCAGAATTTTTGCCACTACAGCATAGGTGTGATGTTAAGGCCAGCTAGTCATTTATCAAACAGTAGGTACCAACCCATTCACTGACCACTGTACATACATTCCAGAAAACCCTGCCATCTCAGCAGCTTCTTGATAGAAATTGGGTAATTTTTTTTTTAAATCTTAAATACAACCCAGAAAATAGCAAAATAGGTTTCAAATATGTGCACTACATTTGTAATCCTTGTCCATCATCTCAAATTAAGAAAAAATAAAGATGCAAAAAGACTAATTCATGGATTGGCAATATCTGGCCTGTGGAACTAGAGGGCTTTGCCTGTGCTTGTGTCAGGTCTGGACAGTAAGGAGCTTCATCAGGGTCAGGCAGCTGGAAGCTGCACTGCCACCACTTCTTCTCAACCCCTGCTCCACCTGCTCTAGTGTGTGCACAGCTTTCAGCCACTGGGGAGCTGTGGCGGGGCTGGGTGGAGATGCAGCAGCAGTACAGTACAGATACAGGCAAACGCTCTGCTGCCGCTCTAACGCCAAAGCCCCATGGCCTATGTAACACCAGAGCCAAGTTATTCCAGCATGCAGCTTGTAATGGTTGCCAGTCACTGGCCTAACTGGTTAAGTGGAAAAGCAAGCATATTTCCTAAAATTGTATTAATGCTAATTTTCAATGTGAGAAACAAAACAGTCTGGATTGATAGTTTCCCCCATTTACTCGTTTTTCTAATCTCCAGAACATAAATGCAAGCATTTTAGAAATCTAGTTAAAAAAATAGATTAACTGTCTTAGTATAAAAATGAACCAAAACAAACTCACAACAGTTTCAAGCTTTTGTTTACATCCTGATGCTAAAGAGCATTGTTATGTATTTTAATGTTATGTGTTTTATAAAAAGGAGAAAACAAACTTCCTGAAACATTTAGTTAGTCAAAAGTTAATTTGCTAAATAGTCTGGATATTGGGGAAGCCAACATCTGACTTGACTTTTGCTAAATAGAAGAGCTTGTAGAAGTGCGGGCAGAACAAGAATGACACCCAGTGGCCAATTAGATAAATCACAGATTCATATTTCAATTAAAGTTCCTCATATATTGTTTTCTATGTAGATCTAACACACTGGTATAAGAAAGTGAGCCAGCCATCACCATTTTAAAAGATTACCTGCTGTTTGAAAGATATACCAGCTGTCCAATATTATACTTTTGCATCTGCAAACATAATATCTGTCACAAGCATAGACAAACAAAAAGGTAATGCAATTTACAAAGTAGTCTTACCTCCAAGCATCGATCTTGCCACCTGCGTGCAAGCATTTCAAGAAGAGGAGGTCTAAATTTATCCAATCCCAATAGATCAGGGAGCATGACACAGTGCATAGCAGCTAATTGACTCCATCCTGTTAAAACAGATATCTAGGTTTTAAACACAACAACCATGTAAGCAATTTTAACTGAAAAAGGTCAAATTGTTTGTATTTAACTATATCCAAAATGCCACACAATTAAAATTTGCTCTGACCACAGGCCTGGAATGAACACTTCTTCAGAGACCCTTATTTTAAGGACCACTACAGTAGTTAAACTGGTTGATGATTTGCCCCAGACAAGATGAATCTATCTTAGCAATTATAAAACACTTCTTCCTGTGCAGTGAATGTATTCATATAAAAAAAGCAGTATTATTTTTGCCATGTATGCAAATACACAGCTCCTGCTTTCAACCATTTCAAACAGGCATGCCAATTAAAACCAAAAAAATGCAATTGTGCAAGCTGCTCAGCAAAACCCGGAGTTTTTTATTTAAAAAAGAAAAAGAAAAAACACTAACTCCCAGAGACCTGGATTTATAAATGGCTTCAAAAACTTGTTAAGGAACATCACTGAGATCAAGAAAGGGCTATGTGTCAGTTAAAAGGAAGACCATCTGTTTGCCAATGTCATGCAGCAGGGGATTCTTTCTATGCTAATGGCTAACCCTATACAGAGCTCATGGAAATCAACAGGCAACTTTGGGCAATGGGCTACACAGATACTCATGGAAATCAATGGACAACTTTATGATTACAGTGGTGTTTGAATAAACCCTATCAGCTACAGGTTACAGAAATCTAACTGACTATCTGAGATCTAGATGCTGCAAAGCTCCAGCAGATCCAGATACTGCTGGAAAAAAACCTCATGTCAGACTTTTATATCCAATGAAGGCTCAATTGTTTTCTCAGGGGAGGATGAGGTTCCAAGTAACAGTTTTTCAATTCAAAACATCATGCTTAACTGTAATCATGCTTAACTTTTAATGTCCCCAACTCAAATATGCCCAAATGCTTTTAAGCACATATGCCACATTTGTCCCAGGATAAACCATTTTATCCCAGGACAAAGTGCAGGCATTCAGACATCCATGTCCATTGACCTAGGATAAATCCTAAAAGGGCTCACAGGGTAAGAATTCTAACAACTTATCATAGGACATCACAAAGTGTACCCAAATGGTTATCCCCGGATCACATTGCAGAATCAAATAGCAGAAAAGTGACTGCGCATTCAGCTGCTCACTAAAGTCTGATTAGAATGGAGCTCTGTATACACGTCAATCCCAAGATACTGCTATTCCAGGACAAATACAGGCACATCTTGTTCAGGGTACAACAAGTGCAACTTATGCTCTTAGCCTTTCTGTCTCAGGGACTATACATATAATAATTAAAAAAAGGAGCCAAGAAAAATCCCCAAATTGCAATTACAGTTATGTTTAAGAAAAAGCCACAAAATTCAAAAGGCAATGCAGCTCGGACAACTTGCCCACACATTATAATATGCATTACTTTACCATGCAAGTACAATACAGCCAGGTTACAATTATCTTACCAAACATTCTTCAATATCAGTGAAATTTTACTGTTAGCTTTTTTAATAAAGCTAATCAAACACAAATTGCAATTACAGTTATGTTTAAGAAAAAGCCACAAAATTCAAAAGGCAATGCAGCTCGGACAACTTGCCCACACATTATAATATGCATTACTTTACCATGCAAGTACAATACAGCCAGGTTACAATTATCTTACCAAACATTCTTCAATATCAGTGAAATTTTACTGTTAGCTTTTTTAAAAAAGCTAATCAAACAACAGCCACAGTATTCAGTAATCATGGACATTCCTACATGAAACTGATTATCATTTGTAACCAAACAACCTACTCACTAAATTCTGTTTTTAACACACAGTACTTGAGATGCAGTGACTCTGAAGTACCATACCACATATGCTTTAAAAACATCACAACAGTTGTACAATATAGCATTTTAAGCTTGTTTTTAACTTATTCCACACAGAATTTCTTTAAATGACAATCCTCACTCCAAAAAAGGACTCTCTCAATTAACTCAGCGGGGACTGAAAACATGGGTCTTCACATGAGCTCAGGAGACATCATAAAATTGAGCTTCTCGATCAGGGTCTAAATCTATGTCAATTTAGAACTGTATTGTCTGAACGTGAAAAGGCATCTAAAAACCAATAAAATACAAGCTAAAAACAAAGCTAGAACCTAAAAATCATTTTTAAAAAGCTGTTCTACAGTTCAGAGCACACATGCGTTTGACATGGCAGAAATAGCAGCAGCACAAATTTGTGCCACTGCTTTTTGCTGCTGTGCACACCCCTGCACTTGGGCTTTGGTGTGAGGCAAAATGCCTCACTTTGGGAAAACAGCTGTTTCCCTGATCCTTTTGGTTCCTGGTGTGCTGGAGGAGCTGAGGGACAACCAGAGGAGGGTAGAGACTCCAGCCAGCAGCCAGAGCATCTCTCTGGAGCACCCAGCCTCCGTGTCTGCTGACACATCCTACAGGAAGGTGCACCACACAATTTTTTTTTTTTTTTTTTAAGCGGGTTTTTGTTTAGTTTTTTTAAATAATGGGAGTTCCCGGTATCAAATTTGCAGCATGGCAAACAATTGCACGTGCGCCGCATGTGGTCTGCGGCACCTCAAACGGCTTTGAGGCACTGCAAACTGCACGTGTTCACTCATTTGGAAGCAGCCCAGAGATGCAAAATGCATACGCTGATGTAGGTCTGATGAGCCTGAACTAGACACACACATAGCAGAGGGGGCAGTTGGCATGGCTTTCCCCACTGAAAACCTCTCAGCTCTGGAACTTGCTCCCCTCCCTAGCCTAATAAGGCATCGAGTTTGTCAACCTTCAAGGCACATCCGTATTCCCTTGCTGACAAGAATGGCTTAAGAATGGTTTGAAATATAAATGATGTCCATAACCCATACATACTCATAAATTAAAGTATATGCAAGCAAAATCCAGGATGTGTGGACTAAAAACGATTCCTAAATGTTCTTACCCAGTGTTAGTAATAAAAGTTGCAAAAACCCCCTACAATATGCTGCCTTTATCTCACAAAGCAAATATGCAGATTAGATTAATGAGTCATGTATTAACAATGATAAAGAACATTAGTTGAAAGTAAAAGACAAGTAGATAGAAAATGAAGAAAGAATACCTTCATTTACTAAGAAACAGGTATGTAAAGTAGGAACAGGGTCAGAGCCAGAGTGACCAGCCTCAGTGCTAGCAGAAACAGCAGGAGCAACTTGAAGAGGAAAGAAGAAGAAATAAAGAGATAAACAGGAAAAATGAGGATAGCAATATCTGAAAAACTGATTAGCATTACTGAAAAGTAAAAGATGAAGCTGGAAGAAATTGTGAAGGTATTAAAATAAAAAAGATCTCTTGATTTTTACCAGAACGGCAACATCAGTGACCAAAAGACATGCAAATCACAGAAACAAATATACTAATGTAAACTCTTCTGAAAGACAAAAGCCGCTGTAGTAAAAAAGGCATTTCAAACATGTCTTAAAATATAGTGTGAATTCAGTTTTGCGGGGGTGCATCAACTATATGCAGCCAAGTTGGAAGTAGAATACCACCAATATAAAAGCACAAAGTGTTATTCCCATAACTGCTATTTAATATTTTCTCAGTATTAGTCACAAAAAATGGAAATAAATATACCCATAAATCAGGAGCCCCCTTTACCACTGAAAAAGTGCTTCCTACAGAATTTTACTTGTTTTAATTTGAGGCTCATTTTAAATATCTCTATTAACATTAAACAAAGCAGTAGATAAACTATTGGGAAAACCTATATATTGAAATACATAATGTACAACATAAAAAAAAGAGAATTACTCATGCAGGTAAGCAACTACAAAGTAATAGTGTACAATAATGTCAATAATAAACTACAGTATCTCTGGCTCTAAAGTAGCTATTTTGTAAACTGCATAATTTCTCAGTGCAGAGGCAGTTTAAAAACAGTAATAAATATTATAGTCTGACTAATGCTCCATGACTGGAATTAGCATATGAAAACACAGGCAGACCTTATGGCACATACATACTACAACCAGAGGTCAATGTTAAGATTTAGAGGTCACTATTTGACACTTCCTTCCTTTATAGAAATTACCATGTGTCATGCACAAGCATCTTCAAATTAATCCCTTTCCTTTATTCCACTGCAGAATAACAATAGGTTCAGGCTCCAGAACAGATTAAGCATTGTCTTCTGAATGGTATGTTTGCTTTTCATGCAGTGAACTTCTTTTGTCACTGTAGAACATCTGCATCAAAACTACTTTTTCTATAATTTCCACATGGATGCATTATGATGGCACGTGTAAAGCAACAGGACAACTAACATAACTCACTAAGCTCTTTTATTTGATGAAAAAAAATGTGACGAGAAAGGGTTTTATCATATTTGATTTATGAAAATAAATTGAGAATGAATTTAAGGTTGCAATTATTTCCAAAAAGAAAGTATGAAAAATTCCCCTAAAATGTCACTGCTTATATCAGTCACTGTAACTGAAAAGCAAGAACAGCTGGCTTAATAGCCCAGTGACATTGAGTTCTAGGGATCTTAAGACACTTACTGCTCTAATTAAACCTCCACTAAAGGATCTTTAAAAAGTAGTGGCAACAGAAGTCCTATATCAAAAGTTTCTGTTGCAACAAGGAGAGGAAAATACTGAAGTCACCTTATGATAAAACCTAGAAATGTAAAACTAACGATGAGGAAAGTAAAGAAAATCCAAATTCCCATAAAAATATATTAGAAGAAAAATCCCATTTGAAAAAAAATACAGATGGCAACTTAATTAACATCACACAAAGTGACAATTTTAAAATAATTTAAGAGGAGAACATCGTTCTATGCTATATGTTCTATATATTCCATGCTCTATGCTATACATTCTGTGACAGGAACACATCATTTTATTTCTATGTACTACTTTTTTGTGGTTTAGG